ATAGAGAGGAAATGTAAACAGAGGAGAATGCCGATAAAAATAGAGAGCAATACAAAAGCACAAGAGAAAGAGAGTGCGTGAGAGAGAGAGAGAGAGAGACGGGGGGAGGGGAGTGAAAACGACGTTAATTGTGTGTGTTACCGACGGCGACGGTGTTACTACATGGCAATAATGAGAGGAAGTGTAAACGGAAAAGAATGCCGATCAAGGTTTAAAAAAAAAAAAAAAAAAAAAAAAAAAACAGTATGAACATTATGTCACTAGGTTTTATAAGCCATTAGTTGATTTCCTTGTCTTAATGTGTTCAGTCTTGTCCCTTAAAGAAAGCACTGTTCTTATACGCTACGAAACACAGACAACTCCTGTACTCACCATAGAGTGGATATCAAATGTGGATATGAAATGCCCACGAAACCTTCTTTGCGGGATCACCACAACTCGAATGAACAGCTGCCGGGGTGCACAGTCAGCGTGTTTGCTGTACGATACGTTCGGCTCTGGCTAAAGAATGTCGCGAAACGTTCTGAAGCCAGACATGCCGCCTAAACACGGGAGGCGACTGAGAGTATTTTCTCAGAATCGTCCGTATGTCCCTATTCCTTGTCTATAACTATTTTTTCTTTAATTGTTATGTTTTAAATTTATTCTTATTTTATTTATTATTATTTTTTTTTTTTTTTTTTACTGTATAGGTTAGGCTTTTATAGTTTTAGTTTTAGTTTTATTTTTTCTTCTATTCTTTTCTTTTTTCATTTTTTTCCATACAATTCGGAGTGCGATACAAGCGTGAAACAAATTTATTTTTTTCTTTAGTTTAACATCCGAACAGAAATCGCACTTGTCGCAGCTCGCATTCCGTACACTGTATCGTGTTTTTGTTTATCGTAATTTTTTGCCTTTGTTGTTTTCTCTTTCTTTGCGTATATTGTTTGTTTGTTTGTTTTATGTCTTATTTTGTGTTTTAGTTTTAGCCTGTCTATTTTCACCTCTTTCCATACTCTCTTTTCCATCTTTTATTTCTTCTATCGTTTCTTTCCTTCCCACTCTCCTTGTATATACTTTTGTTTTGTTTTTTTGCGTCTGTTATTTTAT